TGGGTGTTATGCACAAACAATGAATCATGGAACACTGCATCAAAAACTAATGATGTAATGTATGGTGGTTAACATAACAATAAAAAAATTATTAAAAAAAAACTAATGATGTAATGTATGGTGGTTAACATAACAATAAAAGATTATTAAAAAAATAAAAAATAAAAATTGGAATTTGTCAAAGTTTTAGAACTCAGTGCTTATCAGGTAACACCATTTTTAAAAATGAAAAGGCTCTCCATGGGTTAGGTGAAAATTTTGTATATATACATAACATATATATGATAAAGACCTGTATTTTTTGTAAAGAACATTTATAAATTAGTAATAAGGAAACCAGATCCCTTAGGTTTAAATTATGCAAAGAGCTTGAACAAAAGTATACAAAAGAAGGTATACAAATGGCCAATAATAATACATAAAAAAAGGCTCAACATTATTAGTCATCAGGGAAAACAAATTAAAACCACAACAATACATCACTTCAGGTCTCCTAGAATGACTCAAAGGAAAAAACAGTACCAGCTGACGAAGATGTAGAACAACTGGGACTCGTCTTGTGTTTTGAACTCTCTCCACAATTTTAAAGTTGCCCAGTATTCCATACTGCCCAAACCATGAATCCCAAAGATAACTAATTGGGAACCCTTTCAAGTTTCTATTTACTTCTTGCCTCTTGAAGAATGTAAAAACAAACAAACAAAGATCAAACAAACAAACAAACAAAAACAGCTTTTGGAGTCAAGAACCTTAAAATGGCTGCCATTGATTTCATGCCCTCACTGCTCTAGCTCTCAAGCAATCAGTAGTAGGCTCCAGAAAATTTTATTATTGCTAAGGAGGCAGAAGTTCTCTCTGTGACGTGAGTCAACAAGTTAAGTACATCACAGGCCACCACACTGGAATTGTGCCATTTTTCTATTTGCCTGACATTCAGGTTTCTTAGAAACTGAAGTTTATTTAGAGGAAGGGGATTCTGACATGTTTGTGTTCCAAGTACTGGACATGCAATTCCCTATTCAAATTTGGATGTTTGTCAAACATATCTCTTCAGCATGGTTTCTAAGACAAATCTTTCTGTCAGTGGAGATAATTAATTCCTGGGAGAGAAAGTAGCAACACAAAAGCCCTTGAACCTTTATGGAAAACTCTTTAAATATCCATGCAGTGCAAGGTTAAAATGATTTTTGTTGATCACATTTGCAGAGGAAGATTCATTAAGATTAGTATGACACATTTGAATGTTTTTACTCCATACTTCTTGCTCCTTGCCTATGGGACCAGAGCCATCTGTAGATGACTTCTCCATAGTGTTTCAAAATAATCCATTCTAAATTCAAATCCCAAGTGTTCTGTAAAAACAATTTGAGGCTTTAGGCTAGAAGGGAAGATTTTGATTGATAAAAATACTTTCTTAAAAATTGTTATTTGATATCAAATTATTTGAATAGTGTCTTACTGGGTGTATCGTATCTTTTATATTGAAAGTTACTTATCTGAGAGGAGGTCAGTTTGAAGATGGGATTATTGCTGAACACGTCCGAACATCATTAAGATCTTCTAAGTCTGTAAGGTAAGTTTTACATATTGCTGATGCATCTTAAAGATTGTTACTTCCCATATACATATTAATCATTGTTTCAGTCCCCTCAAATACAGTATTAGAGTATTTCATCCACACCCCATTTCTTCAAAAGATAGTTGGTAAATATCATTCACCTAAGCTGACAGATGAAAAATTTGAAACTCAAGGAATTGAAGCCAATTGTAAGACCCTGCTCTTCATCACCAAACAGCATGCTTTTGCAGTGAGACATCTAGTTTAATAATCTGGACTAAACATGAGAGTGAAAACAAAATGTAAATTCACTTCTCACATAGAAGAGACATAAGTATGAATAATAAATGACAGATATCATCAGCTGCATAGTCCAAGCATGAACGGAGAATTCTTTCTGGTAACAAAGGCTACAGATAATTGAGTCTGTATGTCTTCTTTAAAAGTAAAATTGGAGAAGATTCTTCCCGAACTTCTTGCACAGTTAAATTATTGCATAATTATCACTCAAAATGTCAATAATTCCTATATCCTAGGTGCCTACACAGTTACAAAATAGATGAAAGTCCTCTGTGTGTATAACACAGGAGTGGTATGTTCGAATATCAATTTGATATTTGACAATTCTCATAAAAAACTTGGATATGGATATTATCAATCTTGCTTTATAGATGAGGATACAAGGATGTAATGTGCTAGAAAGGTACTCCAGGTAAAAGAAGATGCAAGGGGAAAAGCAGAATTCTAACCTGGTCTTTTTGATTTTCAAACCAAAACACTTAACCACAGTGGAAATCCTTTTCAACATTTAACAGATGGTTTGCTTTGGACATGGATTGTAGTAGGGAGAACTAGGTCTGAGGGAGAAGTCAAGATAAAAAGATCTTTCAATGAATACAGTACCATATTTTATTTGAAAATTGGGAGTTCAAGGATGTCAGTGTGTGTGTGTGTGTGTGTGTGTGCATGCGTGTGTGTCTCCTAATGAAATTATGTTATATACACTTGGCTCCAAAGTAGTAATAAAGCAGTTATAATTATTGTGGTCCTATAAAAAGGAGATTACTAGTTCACTGTTGTTAATTATAACAATATAGGGCATGGGTAATAATTTGGAGGAAAAACAGGAACAAGTATATCCTGAACTAATCTTGGTTCTGCCCTTAATTAGCATCATGATCTTGGCAGGATCTTTTTTTTTTTTTAAGATTTTATTTATTTATTTGACAGAGAGATAGAGAGAGACTACAAGTAGGCAGAGAGGCAGGCAGAGGGAGAGGGAGAAGCAGGCTCCCTGCTGAGCAGGGAGCCCGATGCGGTGCTCGATCCCAGGACCCTGGGATCATGACCTGAGCCTAAGGCAGCCACTTAACCGACTGAGCCGCCCAGGTTCCCCTTGGCAGGATCTTTAACTTCTCTATGTTTCTGTTACATAAAGTATAAAATAAGTATAAAAGAAATAGCTGGAATTACTTTACATGATTGTGAGGGGGATTAAATCAGCAAATGTCTCATGAAGTTCTTTATTAAAATTATATCCCTTATTCCCCCTTCCTCAAATTCCTCTTCACTTTTCCTCCTATATTCTCACTGTCTGCCCATGGATCCGCATTTCCTAAGGATAGAGGGAAAATTTCATAACCCTGCGTTCATAACCTTTACATCATAAACTACCTCCCCTTTCTTTCTTAGCTGCCACTATGTGTAGGATCCACTACTTCATGTTAGGCTTAGTCATCTCAGATGATGAAGTGTGCACAAATGGTCTCCCGCCTGTGTGTTTACAAAGTTCCCCGTGTCCATACTCAGCAGAAACTTCACCAAGGAGATAAATCAAATAATCTTAAAAAACTCAAAACTTATTTTCTATCTCAAAAAACCTCATGAGAATTCACAAATCATTAGAATCTAGGTATTTTCTATTTACTAGATAAAGAAGCTTAATAAATTCAAGGTTACATTAATCACAAGTGATTTTTTTTTCAGGTAGTGCAATTAATCATACTATGAAATAATGGTGAATAGGAACAATGTGACAGAGTTTGTTCTACTGGGGCTCACAGAGAATCCAAAGATGCAGAAAATCATATTTGTTGTGTTTTTGTTCATCTACATCATCTCTGTAGTAGCAAATGTGCTCACCATGGTCACTATCACTACCAGCGCATTACTAAGGTCCCCCATGTACTTTTTCCTGGCCAATCTCTCCTTCATTGATGCTTGCTATTCTTCTGTCAATAACCCCAAACTGATCATAGATTCACTCCGTGAAAAGAAGACCACCACATTCAATGCATGTATAACTCAAATCTTTGGGGAACATTTCGTTGGAGGTGCTGATGTCATCCTGCTCACTGTGATGGCCTATGACCGCTATGTGGCCATCTGCAAGCCACTGCACTACACGACCATCATGAATCGGAGGGTGTGTGGCCTGCTAATGGGAGTGGCGTGGGTTGGAGGCTTTCTTCATGGAGCCATACAGATCCTCTTTATCATCCCTTTACCCTTCTGCGGCCCTAATGTCATAGATCACTTTATGTGTGATCTGAACCCTTTGCTCAATCTTGTCTGCATTGATACCCACACTCTAGGGCTCTTTGTTGCTGCCAACAGTGGTTTCATTTGTGTCTTACTCTTCCTCCTCTTGATCATCTCCTATGTGGTCATTCTGC